TTTTGACTGGGAGAATTGGCGCTCCCTAAAAGAAAGGGGCCAGGACTCCAGGATTCCTTCTCCAGTGAGCAGGGACTGACTGGGCCCCAGCTGAGCAGGAGAATTTAAACTGGACACATTTAAAGAGGGATTATGTAAATTTATGCTGGGGCTGTGGGAACAATAAACTATCTTTACTTACTAATGGAGGGTTGTGTTTTTTCCCCCTCCTAAGAAGTGTAAATCCCATCTATTTGTTTATTTTTATGTGTGTGAGTGTTTTGCCTGTGTGGGAAGGTGTGCCTGTGTACCAGGTGGATGACTGGTGCCTGAAGAGGCCAGAAGAAGGAGCTGAATCCCCTGGAATTGGAGTTACAGATGGGGTGAGCTACCAAGTGGGAAACACACCTGGTCCTTTGAAAGAACAAGTGCGCTAAACCCCTGAGCAATCTCTGTAGCCCTTGAACTATAAAAGGCATCCATGATCTCATCTTCAGTGCTGTGGCATATTGGTAGAAATCCTCTCATGATATTGACCATAAGTCTAGAAGGCGGTCACTGAAATTTCTGGGTTCCTGCGATGCTTTGCAGCTACCGTGACCTTGCCTTTAGTGCTATGGGGGTCAGTCAGGAAAGTGGCCAAGACAATGCAGAACATCAACACACTGGGTGTCAGGAGCCTGATTTCTGTAAACTAGCTAGAAAAGCCATAGTGGACACTCCTCAGTGATGGGACAGCTGGGTATCCCAGGACCCAATAGAAAGCAGGAGTTGTGTCCTTGTTGAATATGACAATTGCCGTGGCCCAGGAATATAGATTTGGGTCACACCAAATTTCACGTTCCAATGTGGAGGCAGTCCCGTGAAGTATTTATACTATCAGAACAGCCATAAATGCTCTTCAGTTAGACCTTAGAAAAGTGGGTTATGGCAGATCATAGAAAGCTCAGCTATGGGCCTCCAATGCCATCAGGCCTGGCAGAAGCTTGTGTTTTAGTTAGCATGATCATACAGGTATTTACTAGTCCTAGGACACTAGGTCCAACAAAGAGGTTGGCAAGGAATGGCTAATAGGTGCTAAAGATGGCCCAACACAAACTGTTGTTAGGCTCTGGACATACCAATATCTCCACGTCACTCCAGTTCGGATAGGTCAGTCAGACTCTATAGACAGGGCTCCTCTGTGGGAATTCTCATTCCCATGATGAAGTGGGCAGTCAGGTTCAGGGTGTGCAACTCTGTCAACACAGGGGAGACATTACCACCAAACTCCACAGACAACAGGTCGAACCCAAGAGCAGATGAAGAGGACAGATGTTGATACCAGCAACCACCTCAGTGTTCCTGAATTATAGTAATATTCACACAGAGATAGCAATATTTTCTCTCTATATATATTTTGTCTGTCTCTCTGTCTCTCTCTCACATACACCCCAAAAGAATTGTGAACAGAGCCTCAGAGTCGCTTGCTAGGTGACGCGACGCAGACGACTGTGCTGTAGTGGCCAATAAAGAATAAATTGCAAAGGAAGCAGCAGCAGTAGATAATCAAGAGATGGCTTAGAATTCTGGGATTGCTCTCAACAATGGGGCAAGGCTTAGCACTTTACAAAATGACCTGAAACCACAGTAGTGATAACTGAGATGCTCAGAGCTGCGCCAAAGCCATGACCAGAGGACCCTAAAAGGAGGGGCAAGATCACTTGTTTGGAGAAGTGGATTTGTGTCATGGGCACACACTTCTGTATTTCATAGACAAGAAATTGTCAAGCTCCAATTTTCCAGAAAGGGCTAGTGTCATCAATAAAACGATTGACATGTCTACAGTTATTAATAAAAAGAATGAAGAAAAAACGTGAGAGATACATGTGGGTGCAGAGAGATACAGATGTTCGCTGTTAGAGAAATACCATAAAAGCATGAAACCAGAAGCCATAATGCATAAAGGAACATTATATATAGCCTTGACAACCCACAAATATGCCCTTAAGTTTTTCTGTTGTCATCTGTTGCTGCTCATGGGGCTAACCCATTAGTCTGGTTTGTGGCCCCAAAATGACTCTCTTGGAGAAAACTAAGTTTTAAATTTATTATTATTATTTAAAGAGGTAGTAAGTGTTCTTTTTGTAGGGAGAAGAACTTTACTGATGATCCCTGGTGCGGTTCTTTTTTTTTTTTTCTTTTTGAAGATTTATTACTTTTTACAGTACTCTGCCTTCATGTACACCTGCACACCAGACCTCACTATAGACGGTTGTGAGCCACCTTGTGGGTGCTGGGAATCAAACTCAGATCCGTTGGAAGAGAAGCCGGTGCTTTTAGCTCTGTGACATCTCTCCAGCCCCCTTATTTCTTATTTTTAAATTTTTATTTATACATTTTATATACCTGTCTTAGACCCCTACCTCCTCTCCTCCCAGGCCTACCCTCCCTGTTTCCCCTATCACCCCTCACCTGGCTCTTCAGAGAACGGGATCCCCTGACCCTGTGCCCACCTACCCACGCCAGCATATCAAGTCGCATCAGGACTAAGTACATCCTCTTCCCCTGTGGCCTGGCAAGTTAGCCCCGACAGGGAAAAGTGATAGAAAAGCTAGCTTGTGGGTCAGAGTGCATTCATATGTGTGATGGACCTGCCATATTTACAAGGCCTTGTTACCTTCGTGTCCTTCATCTCCTCTGGCGCTTATGCTCTGCACACAGAGTCCCTTGAGCCCTGAGGGGAGGGATTTGCTGGAGTCATCTCATTTAGGGTGGAATGATCCAAGGCCTCTCACTCTCTGCATATCGAGTGGATGTGGGTCTCTGGATTTGTTCCCATCTGATGCAGGAGGAAGTTTCCGATGATGGCAGAGCAAGGCACCAATCTGTGAGTATGGCCATGCTCCTTTAGCACAACTATAGCATTTAGATCTCTCTTAAAGTCCCTGGCCTGTGAAGACTCAGGCTCCTGGCTACCCAAGCAGTATTGGATCAAGGTTTCTTCTCATGGAGTAGGCCTCCTGAAACCCAACCAGATATTAGTTGGTCACTTCCATGATTTTTGTGACACAAGCGCACCAGTAAATCTTTTAGGCAGGTCACTGTTGGAGAGTAAAGGGTGTATGGCTGGGTTGGTTTGTACTTTTCTCTTCCGGTGGCAAGCAACGCATGTTCCAGTATCATGAACAGTAGTCCATAGTGGGTAAAGGTTCTAGGTAGGTGCCAGCTGGAATTCTCTGTGTCCAATGACTTGCAGAGGTATTGTCCTCAGCAACAGAATCTTACCATCAGGTTAGGGAGAGCATGAAAGGATGGACACAGTTTGGGTGTCCCTAGTCTCTGCTTTGATCTAGCACATTGTCATCCCGCGTTTCGACTCCACAGGACTCTGGGAGGCCGGCTCTCGAGACAGTCCTTGGTCAGTTCATATTAAATTGAAATAAACACATAGTATTAAATTAAACACATCATGTATATAAAACTAGTTAGTGACACGTGTTTAACACCAGAGGGCACCGCATCTCTTGACAGATGGTTTGAGCGCCACCGTGTGGTCCTTGGGGATGGAACCCCGGACCTCGGGAAGAGGGGGGATTCTCTGTGTCACAGAACCCTGGCTGTTGGGATGACAAAGGTCCGCATTTTTTTTTGATTCATTCATTTATCCATCCATCCATCCATCCATCCATCCATCCATCCATCCACTGTACAGCATTTTGCCTGTACACCAGAAGGGGGCACCAGATCTAATTACACATTGATGGCTGTGAGCCACCAATGTGGTTGCTGGGAAATGAACTCAGGACCTCTGGAAGAGCAGCCAGCGCTGTTAACCTCTGAGCCATCTCTCCAGCCTCCGGTTTTGTTCTTTTGTTTGGCTTTTAATCTTTTTTAAAAAATGTATTTATTATTATTATTAATTACACTTTATTCATTTTGTATCCCCCCCATGAGCCCCTCCCTCCACCCCTCCCAATCCCACCCTACCTCCCCTTTCTTCATGCATGCTCCTCCCCACGTCCACTAATAGGGGAGGTCCTCCTCTCCTTCCTTCTGATCTTAGTCTATCAGATCACATCAGGAATGGCTGCATTGTCTTCTTCTGTGGCCTGATAAGGCTGCTCCCCCTTCAGGGGGAGGTGATCAAAGAGCAGGCCAATCAGTTTATGTCAGAGGCAGTCCCTCTTCCCATCACTATGTAAGCCACTTGGACACTAAACTGCCCTGGGCTACATCTGTGCAGGGGTTCTAGGTTATCTCCATGAATAGTCCTTGGTTGGAGTATGAGTCTTTGGGAAGTTCCCTGTGTTCAAATTTTCTTGTTCTGATGCTCTCCTTGTGGAGTTCCTGTCCTCTCCAGCTCTTGCTATTTCCCACTTCTTACATAAAATTCCATTCACTCTGCCCGCCAGTTGGCCATCAGGTTCAGCATCTGTTTTTGGTTTTTAATCTTTAAAAAATATTTATTATCCGTGTGAGCACGTTTCTGCCTTCCCGAGACTAGTCCTGCTTTGACTGGGAGACTCGAAATTACTTTAAAAAGGGTGCAGGGACCCCAGGATCCTTTCTCCAGGGACCAGGACTGTGTCTGCTCAGGAGACTTCAAATCGCACATTTTTCTGGTACACAAGTGGCTTCCAGCAGCTGGGCATATTTACTTCTGGCACCAGGGGCGGGGCGATGACGTCACGAATTGGCTCCGAAAGGCTCGTGATTCTGAAGAAGTCGAGGGGTGCAGGCGAGAACACCGGGACCAGGGAAAACGCTGTGTGAGCTGTGGCGACGGGAAAGGGATTCAGAAGATACTTCTGGGTCCCTGCAAAGCTGCCCGCACAGGAAGGATTCAGAGGTATCCTTGGCAGGAGAGTGTAAGCAGTACGCACAGTATTCTGGGGATTGTATTTCCGCGTCCGCGTTTCTGTACAGCAGAAGAGAAGGTGAGACCTGATAGGTGACTACAAACAATCCCAGAAGTCCTTGCTCTGAGGCCAGCCATGTTTGTAGTTCTGACAGAGGCTTGCAGCCAGCACAATGCGGTCTGGGATTGTTTTTAGTTCCCTGGCTGTGGAGAGCTGGGCTATAGAAATTCTCCAGGTTTGTTATTCACATCCGTGTTTGGGACTTTTCATCATGAGTTCAGTGCTGTGTCATAACGATGTTCACAGTCGTACAAGGTAAAACAGATAATTTTTTGGCTAAGAGACACCTGTAATACAACGTGATTGGTTGTATGTGTGGCTGAAATTCCGTAGATTCAGGGCCTGGAAGGTTCCTAAGACAGGGGTGATCAGACAGGACTGTGGTGAATGTTAAAGGGATGCGAGCACCCACAAGCATGCATATGTCTTCAATGTACTATTGAAAAAGCAGGCACTTGAGGAAAATTATAAGGTTATATTTCAAGAACCTGACAGTTGGTGGAAATTCAAAGTTCAAGAGTTAGCATGCACCTCTTTGTCTTCCTATTTTCTCATTCTGTATCCTGTTATTTTTAGGTATTGTTAGATTATTAAAAAATGAGGCTGGCAACCAATCTTCTATGCAAGAGGTTTATTAGTTGGATATTAAGAGAAGGAGGGAAAGGAGAGCAGGACATGATGGGGAAAAAGGGGGGCGCCCAGAGAGAGAGAGAGGAATAAGAGAGTAAGAGAGCGACCACGTATTGGGTTGTCCCTTTAAGGGGCAAGGTAACCATGCCTTCCAGGTGTGGCCACCTGGCCTGTGACACATGATGACATCCTAAGTTGCTAGTAACCCAGAAGCAGGTTGTATTCCAAAATACTAACATTCCTCCTTTTTTTCTATAATTAAAAAATGAGGAGCGTGGGCTGCTTTTTATAAGGTAAGTCAAAGTTTATAAATTTAGGCTCAGGGAAGCAGCTTTTGGTTGTCATGCAAGGGATTGAGAGAGAGAGAATTATAGCAACAAAATGGTGAGATTACAAGGTCAAGAGTAAGGGAAGCCTCTGCCCTGGAAAATTTAGGGTAGAGGGTTGTCAATAGAGAGTTGCCAGCCATGCAAGGCAGCAGGTAGGGCCTGGGGAACGCTGGGAGAACCTGGAGCTGCTTGTCCTAGTCCGTTTCAGCCCTTTGTTAATAACAAGTGAATAACGTGCGTAGATTCTCTTCTGGCTACTTCCTGCTGACACTGGGGGCACTGTAGGGAGGTCAAAAGCCTGAAATGTTGGCCAAGTCCAGGAAGAACAGGCTGTTTTGATACTGTCCAGGGTCTGCAAGAATATCCATGGCTGGGAGGGAAGGTGCAGGTCCAGCTTGTTGGAAGTCTGTGAGGTCAGAGTTGAACATTTGTAGCTGCTTTGGCACTGTTGTGGCTGTAGGAAACATCTATGTCTGGCAGGACACTGAAACATACATACACACACACACACACACACACACACACACACACATATATATATATATATATATATATATATATAAAGTTGAGTAGGTTATGGGAAAATCCTTTAGGTATGCATTGAAAACTTTTGGGAGAGCAAACAGAGGTGGAAGGTTTGGATCAATAAGACTTGAACATGGAAATCCCTGTCTACCTGGGGGGACCTTTATTTACACAATCATTGGCAGTAGTTAAAAAAGGCTTTGTTTTGGGTCTGTCATTGAGGTGAGGTTTGGTTACAGAAGTGTGTAAACTTAGAGGCCCTCGTGCTAGCTGGCACTAGGTGTAGAAACTTAAAATTCTCCAGAGGACATCCTATCTGGAGGGACGGGTGTCTGGCCATCTCCCATTGGGACAGAAGTCAGGGACCTTCCAAAGGCATCCCAAAGGCAAGGTGTGACTCGAGTGAGAGGTGTTACCTGGTCCAATAGCTCATCAGCATTTGGCCAGGGACTGGGGAGCAGATGCCCAGCGGGGCATGGTCGGGGCATATTGTCCTTTAGCTAAAGGGATGGTAAAAGGTTACATTTAGGCCTGTTTTTGAGTCTGGCAACAAGGCATATTGTGTCTAGGTCTGACAATAGCAGCTCTAGGACTTAGCCTTAAGGCCTGGTCTCCTGCAGATGAAGAGAACTGGGAAGACATCTGAAGTCTCCCAACACAGAAGTTGGCAATATGTCCTTGAGACCTCATTGTGAGGTCAATAACAGACCTGATATTACCCTGGGCTGGATGAGAGTTGTGGAGGTTGCTGAGTCAAGGAGCCATTTGTCCTCTGCCAGGCCAAAGAGCTAGAAGGCTGGAAGTGTCTGTGTCTCTTGTGCTGGTTGAATCTCCATGGCTGGGCACAGAGGACAAGCCTGCTTGGGAGCATTTTTGACTTCCAGGGGCCAGTCTGCCAGCAGGCAGCCATGGCATGTTGCATCAGCAGCAGTGGGACCAGCATCCACTTTGGCTGCATTTGAAAAAGTCACCTGGCAGAACCGACTTTTGGCTATACAAACCTCTTGCCTTTTTTGCGGGAATGCCAGAAGTCTCAGAGCACAGTTAAGGTCTAGAGCCAGTTGGGATGGCTCACTGTAGACCTCCTGTCTTTTGTGTGGGATTGCCAGCAGCCTCAGACCATAGCTAAGGTCTAGAGCCAGTCACGATGGCTCTTACTGTTTTTACCAATTCCTATATGGTGACTTAAGGACCATCCTCAGCTGTTTATTAGACATTGCAGTGAGACCATGTTTGCATCTGTAGGACTATAAATATATATCTATGAGATGACTATTAACTTGCATTTGTTAACCATTAAATATTAGGAATTTAGGTTTTGTTCTTGCTAAGTTAGAACCTTAAAAGTTATGAATATAATTTATTAAAGTGAGAGCACAAGAGTTTTTCTGTATGATTTATTATATAAAAGTTTATAGCTTATAATAGTCTAAGGCTATACTGTAGATTAAGAGAACAAGACCAAGCATATTTTAACCTTTTGATAGTAGAGATACAGCAAATTGACCCAGTTTTAATATAAATACATTTTTAAAAAATTAATAGATCTTAATTTAGAATATTGGTAAACAACTTGTATGTAATAAAAAAACCAACAATATAGTAGAACAGTGTAAAGCAATTTTAAAATTATATTTGAATTTATTATAACCAACATAATTTGAATAGACAGTTATAACTTTGAAATTTTATTATTATATAAAATTTATTTTGAAGCAGGGTTGAATCATAGGTAGTAAAATGTAACTCTGAATTTTTATAAAAATCTATACCAATTTGAAATGAGGCTCGTTTTTGTGGCCTAGTCTAAAAGATAAAATAAACAGTTAATTATGATTAAGACTTATAAATGTAAACCCAGTGAGAAAATTATATAAAGCATTAGATAAGGAATTTAAAATATAAGAGTAAGGTGTATAGAAATCAGGAAGAGAGGATTTTTTTTAAAGCTTGGAAGCAGCCTCTTAGAGTAGTCAGAATTTTTAAAAGCCAGAATACAAACTGGAGCTAGGAATGAAAGTGGCTTGGTGGGGGAGGGAGGAGTGCATGGAAAGGCGGAGCCCCATTGCCGGAATTCAAAATGGTGCCACAACCACGTGAAAATCTATGGTGAAGCTATGTATGGTTCTGCCCATTTCCTCCCAAAATCAACATGGCACAGAAATCTGGCGGGAAATTTTAAAAGCTCCTCGGCTGTGCTGGGTTCTTAGAACTGTCTTACCTAAAGCAGCACGCCAAGTTTTTAAAGTTGATTTTTGCATTGTGTGAGTCTCCGCATCTCGGAGCAGTGGCCTGTGTGGAGTCTCACTGTCAGCTGCCACAGGCAGCAGCAGGCTCCATAGCAGGAGTGGAGTGTTGGCACCACACCGCTAAAGCGGCACACCAAGTTTTTTAAAGTTGATTTTAGGGTGGCGTGAATAGGCTTGGCACCAGAATAGTAACACACATGGCCCCTTTGGTTGGCACACTAGATCTCTGTATAGATGATTGTGAGCCACCATGTGGTTGCTGGGAATTGAACTCCTGATCTTTGGAAGAGCAGCCAGCGCTGTTAACCCTTGAGCTATTCCCCAGCCTCTGGCTTGTTTTTTGTTGTTGTTGTTGTTTAGGTTTTTTTTGTTGTTGTTGTTGTTTTAATGTGTGCGCGTTTCTGCCTTCCCAAGATCAGCCCTGCTTTGACTGGGAGAATCAAAATGACTATAAAAAGGGGCAGGGACCTCAGGATCTCTTCTCCAGGGACCAGGGACCAGCTGGATCGCATATGATCAGGAGAATTCAAAGTGCACATTTTTCCTGCAAACAAGCGGCTTCAAGCAGCTGGGTGTGTTTACTTCCGGAATTAGGGGCGGGGCGATGACGTCACGAATCGGATCCGAAAGGCTCGTGATCCTGAAGACGGTGAGGGGCACAAGGCGGGGAAAATTACAGAACACCCGGGACCAGGGAAAATGCTGTGTGCGCTGTGGTGAAGGGACAGGGCTTCCGGGGATACTTCTGGGTCTGGGCAAAGCGCGGGAGAAGGAAGGATACAGAGGTTGGCGGAGGGTGCGCACAGCATTCTGAGAATTGTATTTCCACATCCTCGACTCGGCAAAGCAGAAGACAGGGTGAGACCTGGCTATGTGACTACAAACAATCCCAGAAGTCGTTGCTCTGAGACCCGCCATGTTTGTAGTTCTGACAGAGGCTCGCAGCCAGTACAATGCACTCTGGGATTTGTAGTTCCCAGGCTACGGAGTGCTTGGCTTTAGGAATTCTACAGGTCCCATTTCATCTGGGACATTTCATCTTGAGTTTAGTGATCTGTCGTAAGGATGTTCACAGTACTAGATAAAACAGATAATTTTTGTCTACGAGACACCTATACTACAACGTAAGTGGCTATATGTGGGGCTGAAATGCGGTATTTAGATTTAGAGCCTGGAAGGCTCCTAAGAGGGTGGTGAATGTTAAGTGGAACTGTTAGGTCCAGCATGAGCCTAATTTTAAGAAGGTCTGAAGAGAACCCAGGAAACTAATCATCGATGCAAAATCGCAAGAGGTTTGTTTATTTTGACCATTGCACAATGGGGTCACCTCTGCTCGTCAGGAAGGAGTGGCACCGGGAGACAAAGGCCTTGGGTTTTTAAAAGACAAAGCGCAGGAAATTCCAGGGGTTGCAATATTGGCGAGTCAGGATTGGATGAGGTATTTAACTTTTAAAATAATTGGTCGGTTCTGGGCACCCTTAGGTCCGGGTCAGCCCTCTCGTAAATATCTGATCTTCAAATC